TTATTGAGGGTGTCCCACCTGCGGGCTTCGTCTCGGCGGCAGTATGAAGTTTCCTGGCAGTCCTTCCATTTCTTTTTTGACTCTTCGTCGTTGTACTTCGCTTTCGGTTCAGGTAGTGTTGTCCTTTCTCTGGTGGTTGTTCCAGGACCGTCATCTTATGCCGAATACTGTCGCCTGAACAAATCTACAAGGGCAGTGACGAGGATTCGAACTCTGTGTGATCTCTGTGTGTGTGGTGATGTAAGGGCGAAGAGAGAGAACGGCCTATTGACGTAGCTCAGGTGCAGGGGGGGTTGTGTAAAAGCCTGGTTTGTGCCTCGGAGAGGCTACGGGATACAGACAGTAAGTTCAGTAGAACTTCGGTTTCAACCCGTTTAACCCTGTCGTAGCTCAGTCGATTAAGGCAGTGTCTGGGATGCTCCCAGACGCAGGTTCGAATCCTCGTCACTGCCCTTGTGGATTTGTTCATTTGATGCATCACGTTAGTGTGATCTCTGTATGTACTGTCGCCTCGTATTGTGCGGTGCTGGTGGAGCCGCTTCAGCTTACTTTTGGTATAGATGTTACTTCTGCAACATTTCGCAAGCTGTCTCCTGCGTTGTTTCATCTCCGGCCTGCTCATGTGACGCTTGAGCCGCCTGGTCTTTGGACAAAGTGCTCTCCTATCTCTCTTCTCCTCGGTTTGTTGTGGCCCCTTTGGTTCAGGATTGTTTTTTGAAGGCTCTTTTTCTGTTGGCATTGGCCTCTTAGGGTCGGGACGGAGAGCTTCATTCTCTCCTCCGGCACAGAGGGTTTCTGCTCTTTCGGTCGTGGAGGTAGGTTTGTTCGTTGGCAGCTGTGTCCTTTTCTGGTGACGAATGTGACTGCTGCTTTCCGAAGGGGTCCTTGGGTTGTTGATGCTTGGTTGGTCAGACCAGGGGGTGCATCATATGTTGTGTCCGGTTGCGGTTCTCCACCGTTATTTGTGTGCCATGGCCTCTGTGGCCATGGCCGCTCTTTGGGTTGACCCAGTTTCCCTTCCCTGTTCTCAGGTTCGGGACACTCAGGTCGTCCGCAGGGTTATTGGGGCTAGCCAGCCTGCGGTCTATCCCCGTGCCTATGACGTTCGTAATTTTGTTGAGTTTGCTGCTGTCTTCGGTAAAATGTTTTGGGCTGACATTCGGGCACGGAGTTTTGGGCAGTCGAACAGGGTTTTGACTGCACACTACCTCGTAAATGTTCCTGGGCCTAGTCGGGCCTGTGTCGCATTGGGTTGGCGGTTGCAGCCTGTTGTCTCTACTTTGAGTTGAGGTGCGCGCACTGACCGCCTCCTAGGAAAGTCCCTCTAGTTTTCGTCTTTGGTGAAGTAGCTCCGGGAGTCGAAGGGGCTCCCCCAAGAAAACTAGCATTGAATGTAATGAAACGCCATTTTCTAGGCAAGTCCTGGAGGCTCCCCGGCAACCCTCCCTTCCTCCGGTCGGTGGTTTTTCTCGTGTTTTTGACATTCAGCCTCAGGTACTGCATGGTGGATCGTCAGCACCGGGGTCTGGGACTCCTCCTTTCCCCGGGAGGGGAAAGGGGGAGCTGCACAGATATGCGACACAGCTCGTGCGACGTCATGCTTGTTTCCTTGTTTTCATTTGGGGAGTTCTATCCATTCGTTTGTCTATTTTAGTTGTTTTAACCATAATAGAGGTTTGTTTTGGGGCGCTTATCTCTCTGCGTAAGAAAGTTCTTCTCTTCCTTGGTTCCTCTCTTAGTAATAGAGGAAATGAATACAATTGCAACCCAGAAATTAAGCAGAAAATCCCTTATGGTAATACAGGCAAATAATATATCAATGTTATAACTCAAGTAACTGGCAACTGACAGCATCCATCCTGCATCCTAGGAAACAACGTGTCAACTGTTCACCCCACTGGTACCATTACCCTCTCCCATACGAAAAAGTAATTGCCCATAAAATAGAACAAATGAACATATGCAATATTATAAATATACGGTATACATATAATGTTATAAGTATATTCGTATAATATTATAAATATATACATATAATATTATAAATATATACATATAATATTATAAATATATACTGTACATATAATATTATAAATATATACATGTAATATGACAGAGTTAGACCATGGAGGAAGAATTGAAAGAACTCTTGCTTTGTTTGCTCTTGCAAACAGAATTGCTGTTTCAATTCTTCCTCCGTGATATGACACTCACATTTTTCATCACGTGTTAATTTTCGTGATTTACACACATGTAATATTATAAATATATACATATAATATTATAAATTGTAAAATTACTAAAGTCGTCAAGGGATACATACAGTGAAGCACAAATACAATACAATGCATCGGACAATGGAGGTGTGTGGCAAGTGTTTTGAAAAATTTGGAAGACGTATTGTAGACGTCAAGTGTTACATCTGTAACACAAGATTTCACCTGAGCTGTGCAGCATTATCTACAGCATGCACAAATAGACAGGCATATACTGGGTTTGCAAAAAGACAGGTTAATATGGGAAAACTTGACCCAATTGATGAATGCCATACCCGAGTCACACAGAAAAGCTACCAGTGATATATACGGACTGTGAAAAAACAACACTGGATAATGACCAAAATTCAGGAACAGGTAGTTTAGAGAACCACGGCAGAAGTGTGGAGGGAGAGAAGGGTATTGTGGTATATGAAGATTGTCTGAAACATGTGCCTTTGAGGAAAGCCAGAAAGAGGTACAACATAGAAATAGTGCAGACGATACTACAAAAGAAGAAAAAAATAACGGAAGCGCTTAAGCAGACACGACTTTCCATGCAAAGAAAGAATAATTTAAACAGGGAAAATGAAGAAATTCACCAGAGACTGAAGCATTCATATTAGATTGAAGAAAGGCAACTAGAACAGAACGCAATTCAAGAAATAAAAAAAAAATATTTCTTCACATATACGAAATCAAAGGCAAAAACCACTGCCAGTATTGGCCCCTATTTGTACAAGTGAAGGTTCATACATGGAAGATGACAAAGAAATCGGTGAAATCCTAAAAAAGTAGTATGAGGACATGTTTAGTACTCCCCCCCCCCCCCAAAAAAAAAGCATGACACTGGAAGATCTGAACAACTTCTTTATGCGTGATATCCAGACTCCTGTAAATATAACTGATATCAACACGAGCGTGGCAGATTTTGAAAGGGAAATTGATAACATGCCCATGCACTCAGCCCTGGGGCCAGACTCATGGAATTCAATTTTTATTAAGAAATGCAAGGTACCTGTAGCACAGGCACTCAGTATAGTGTGGAGGAAGAGCTTGGACACGTGGGAGATACCAGATGCGCTTAAAGCAGCAGACATTGCCCCTCTACACAAGGGAGGGAGCAAAGTATTGGCAAAAAATTATAGACCAGTTGCACTAATGTCCCACATAATAAACGTATTTGAGAGAGTGATCAGGAGTCAGGTCACTAGATTCATGGAAACCAATGATCTCCACAACCTAGGTAAACATGGATTTAGAGCGGGGAGATCATGCCTCTCATAGCTACTTGACCATTATAACAAAATCATTGAGGCATTTGAAGAAAAACAGAACACAGATGTGGTATACATGGATTTTGCAAAGGCACACAAAATGAGGTCAATACTCTTCAAATCAATTGTGGTTGTACTCTTCAAATCAATTGTGCTGTCCTGTCTTGAGTACTGCTTAAAACTCACTTTTCCCTTCAAAGCAGGGAAGATTGCTGAAATAGAGGGAATATAGAGATCATATATGCCATACATAGACACGATAAAGCATCAAAATTATTGGGATCATTTCAAAACTCGCCAAATGTACTCACTGGAAAGGAGACGTATATTATTTGAGAGATATCAAATAATATATACGTGGTAAATACTGGAGAGCTGATCCCAAATCTGCACAGTAAAATAACAACATACAGGAGTGAACGACATGGAAGAAAATGCAGAACAGAACCAGTGAAAAGCAGGGGTGCCATAGGCACAATCGGAGAACACTGTATGAACATCAGAGGTCCACGGTTGTTCAACATCCTCCCAGCGAGCATAAGAAATATTGCCAGAACAACCGTGGACTTCTTCAAGGAGTACCGGACCAACCGGGATGTGGTGGATATGTGGGCTTGCTGGCCGCTCCAAGCAACAGCTTGGTGGATCAAACTCTCACAAGTCAAGCCTGGCCTCAGGCTGGACCTGGGGAGTAGAAGAACTCTCAGAACCTCATCAAGTAGGTATTAAGCAGGTGCCTGTCCCGGTCGATGGCAGATATAGAATGCTCCAAGTCCCATGTGCATTTCTATAGGCCATTGCTCCTCATGCATCTCTGAGGGGGCCAGGTTCTGGCGCATGGTCCCCGGTAGGCCTAGAACTCCATTCATACTGATGCCAAAGTCTAATGATATACATGTCAGCTTGGATAGCTCCTGGTAGCCTCCGGTACTCACCCAGAAAATGGCATTTCATTACATTCAACGCTGCTTTTTTTTAAATTGTGGGCAACATTCCCGGGTGTGACTGAGTGAGCAACCAAGGCTGGTGCAAACAGCATGAGCTAACAGCACTGCTGTTAAGCTTGTGACCACAACATCGCCTAAAAATGTCAAAATATATATGTAACATACTATTTAGCTATTATAGTATTACAGAAGAGCCTGACTGTGATAAAGACTGTGTACAATGTTCAGATATCAGTGAACACAATGCTGTTCAAGATGTTCACAGCACTAGCCACAGCACACTGCCATTGTTTCGTCTATCTAAGAATCTTCAAACGACTTCTCAAGTTCCTTTACAGATGAGGGAGGGAGGAGGGAGGGAGTGAGTCCCTTACCTTGTATTGTGCTAACAGACGGCGAAAGGTTACAATTCATCTTGGGGCACGATTCTATGTTGACATGATGCAAATACAGTACAGTACATCATTACATCTGATTTGTTACATGGCTGATTATTGAATTTGTCTTTTACCATTGGACAGGAGTCCGTCACAGTCTTCTCCGCTAAGCATTGGCAAGAATGACCTGACATCTGGCGATTCGTCTCGGGAAATGTCGCCAATGCTGGAGTACGTGGACTTGACAATGTCTCCTCCTGACCCCCTTGATAATGATGTTGTTGACACTACTGATAATCCTGTTGGAACAGTTGCTGATACAAGTGTCCATCCTGTTGATAGTAGTAGTGGTGGTCGTGTGTGCGTAGCCCGAGCATCACCATTGCCATCATCTCGCCCTCATCAGCAAGGTATGATGGGTGTGTGTGCCAGATTTGTAGACCAATGTCATGTATTGTTCTCTTGTGGATCCTATTAAACTGAAGTAATATGCCTGATTTTCACCATATGTGACATGTGTAGAACTTTACCTCCCATCCTGCTGTTCATTGACCTTGACATCCCACACTGCTGTTCTTGACCTGACCTCCCATCCTGCTGTTCATTGACCTTGACCTCCCACCCTGCTGTTCTTCACTTTGCTGCCTGTTCTCACTTCTCAACTACTGTAGTTCTAATCTTTAGAACTATTTTGTGGTCATTGTTGAAGTCAATCCCATTGGAGAGTAGAGGGTGATAAGAACCATTCCGGAGGCTGCTAATTTTTTGACACAAGTAATTTTTCTTCAAAATTTATTAATCGCAAGTGCTGTTTACGTGTAATTTGTAACAGTATTATTTTTTAAGGTGTACAGTCCTACAACCAAACGAGAAAGATGCTTTTGAATAAAGATGACTTAGATCTGCCTGACAGACTTGTCTCGCCCCTCAAACGAAAGACAGACGAGCCCCAAAATACCCCGAAAAGAACGAGAAATAGACAATTTCTGGTGAGTGTTTCATTTGTTCTACAGCTGGCATCACTCGGCATTCATAGTTAATTCCATGTCTCAACATATATGGGCTAAAGATGCAATAAATTGATTAATTACACAGTCACAGAAGGTGTTAGGGCCAAACCGATACTGACGCGCTTCTGTAAAATGAGAGGCTGTGGGTAGGGGATAGAATGCACCAGGTGGAATATTGTGTAATTTTATTACAGATAAACACAGTATACGACTGTAAGCTCTTTTTGTATTTTTTATAGATCAATATTGTTTGTTTCAACAGGAAGAAGGTATGAAACCGGCAGAAGGCCCTACTTTTGTTAGTCAACTTAAAGTAAAACATAGACTTTGGAATGCTGACCAGAGAGGTAATAACAACAGTGAGAAGAGGAGTAATAGTCAGGACAAACAAGGTTAGTCTCTACAGTTTGTGAGCTCTAGCTCTTCGGTTCCTATCTTTATGGATGGAGGCGCCAGGTTCTACTTCTTTCACCAGTGCATACCACTTGTTGACAGCTCTCATTAAATACACTCTTTCATTTCTTTGTCTCGTTGTCTTCATTTCCAGCTTCCCCCCAACCACTCGTAAGTGTAGCGAGAGTGGTTACATCTCTGCAACTCAGTTTCATGTCAGCAATGGGCTGCCAGCCATCATCCAGGTGGTTGCAGTGGCAGAAAAGGGTGTCAACTTAGAGCAAGTGGTAGCTGTACTGAACAGACAAGTCCCATTACTTTGGAGGATGTCCAAATGCAACTGCTTTAACCTGATGAGAACAAGAGGGATATTGGTGGAAGTTGGAAATGCTGACACAGAAACTTTAGGAAATTCTCAATTGTTGGGAGATTTATAAAATTATGTACTGTATGTAATGTATGTATGTATGTATGTATGTATGTATGTATGTATGTATGTATGTATGTATGTATGTATGTATGTATGTGTATGTATGTACTCACCTAGTTGTGTTTGCGGGGGTTGAGCTCTGGCTCTTTGGTCCCGCCTCTCAACCGTCAATCAACAGGTGTACAGATTCATGAGCCTATCGGGCTCTGTCATATCTACACTTGAAACTGTGTATGGAGTCAGCCTCCACCACATCACTTCCTAATGCATTCCATTTGTCAACCACTCTGACACTAAAAAAGTTCTTTCTAATATCTCTGTGGCTCATTTGGGCACTCAGTTTCCACCTGTGTCCCCTTGTGCGTGTTCCCCTTGTGTTAAATAGACTGTCTTTATCTACCCTATCAATCCCCTTCAGAATCTTGAATGTGGTGATCATGTCCCCCCTAACTCTTCTGTCTTCCAGCGAAGTGAGGTTTAATTCCCGTAGTCTCTCCTCGTAGCTCATACCTCTCAGCTCGGGTACTAGTCTGGTGGCAAACCTTTGAACCTTTTCCAGTTTAGTCTTATCCTTGACTAGATATGGACTCCATGCTGGGGCTGCATACTCCAGGATTGGCCTGACATATGTGGTATACAAAGTTCTGAATGATTCTTTACACATGTTTCTGAATGCCGTTCGTATGTTGGCCAGCCTGGCATATGCCGCTGATGTTATCCGCTTGATATGTGCTGCAGGAGACAGGTCTGGTGTGATATCAACCCCCAAGTCTTTTTCCTTCTCTGACTCCTGAAGAATTTCCTCTCCCAGATGATACCTTGTATCTGGCCTCCTGCTCCCTACACCTATCTTCATTACATTACATTTGGTTGGGTTAAACTCTAACAACCATTTGTTCGACCATTCCTTCAGCTTGTCTAGGTCTTCTTGAAGCCTCAAACAGTCCTCTTCTGTTTTAATCCTTCTCATAATTTTAGCATCGTCCGCAAACATTGAGAGAAATGAATCGATACCCTCCGGGAGATCATTTACATATATCAGAAACAAGATAGGACCGAGTACAGAGCCCTGTGGGACTCCACTGGTGACTTCACGCCAATCGGAGGTCTCACCCCTCACCGTAACTCTCTGCTTCCTATTGCTTAGATACTCCCTTATCCACTGGAGCACCTTACCAGCTACACCTGCCTGTCTCTCCAGCTTATGTACCAGCCTCTTATGCGGTACTGTGTCAAAGGCTTTCCGACAATCCAAGAAAATGCAGTCCGCCCAGCCCTCTCTTTCTTGCTTAATCTGTGTCACCTGATCGTAGAATTCTATCAAGCCTGTAAGGCAAGATTTACCCTCCCTGAATCCATGTTGGCGATTTGTCACGAAGTCCCTTCTCTCCAGATGTGTTACCAGGTTTTTTCTCACGATCTTCTCCATCACCTTGCATGGTATACAAGTCAAGGACACTGGCCTGTAGTTCAGTGCCTCTTGTCTGTCGCCCTTTTTGTATATTGGGACCACATTCGCCGTCTTCCATATTTCTGGTAGGTCTCCCGTCTCTAGTGACTTACTATACACTATGGAGAGTGGCAGGCAAAGTGCCTCTGCACACTCTTTCAGTACCCATGGTGAGATCCCATCTGGACCAACAGCCTTTCTAACATCCAGATCCAGCAGGTGTCTCTTGACCTCCTCTCTCGTAGTTTCGAACTCCTCCAAGGCCGCCTGGTTTACCTCCCTTTCTCCTAGCACAGTGACCTCACCCTGTTCTATTGTGAAGACCTCCTGGAACCTCTTGTTGAGTTCCTCACACACCTCTCTGTCATTCTCTGTATACCTGTCCTCGCCTGTTCAAAGTTTCAATACCTGTTCTTTCACTGTTGTTTTCCTTCTGATGTGACTGTGGAGTAGCTTTGGTTCGGTCTTGGCTTTGTTTGCTATATCATTTTCAAAATTTTTCTCTGCTTCTCTTCTCACCCTGACGTACTCATTCCTGGTTCTCTGGTATCTCTCTCTGCTTTCTGGTGTTCTGTTATTCCGGAAGTTCCTCCACGCCTTTTTGTTCAGTTTCTTCGCTTCCATACATGCCCTATTATACCATGGATTCTTCTGTTGCTTCTCGGATTTTTCCCTTTGGGCCGGGATGAACCTGTTTACTGCCTCCTGACACTTTTGGGTAACATAGTCCATCATACCCTGTACAGACTTGTCTCTGAGGTCTGTGTCCCAAGGTATTTCACTTAGGAAACTTCTCATCTGTTCATAATTCCCCTTTCGGTATGCCAGCCTTTTGATTCCTAGTTCTTTTTGGGAGGAGATAAGTCCTAGCTCTACCAGGTACTCAAAGTTCAATACACTGTGGTCACTCATTCCCAAGGGCGCTTCCATCTTAACTTCCCTTATATCCCATTCATTTAGGGTAAATATCAAATCAAGCATTGCTGGTTCATCTTCTCCTCTCATTCTTGTTGGTTCTTTGGTGTGCTGGCTTAGAAAGTTTCTTGTTGCCACGTCCAGCAGCTTAGCTCTCCATGTTTCTGGTCCTCCATGCGGGTCTCTGTTCTTCCAATCTATCTACCCATGGTTGAAGTCTCCCATAATTAGTAGTCCAGATCCATTCCTGCTAGCAACAGAAGCTGCTCTTTCTATTATGTTAATGGTGGCCATGTTGTTTCTATCATATTCCTGTCTAGGTCTTCTGTATATATGTATATATGTATGTATGTAATGTAAGTCTGTCTTTGTCTGGTTCACTATGGGGGTAGGTGGCGCGAGGTATAAAGATCTAGAGATAACTCCTCTTTCGTTATTGATAGTAACTGTAAGTATTGTTACTGATATGCAAGCACAGAGATATGACAACCATGGTGTTTGTGTTGGTGGCATTAATATGACTTGTCAAGCCGTGACGGCGACCATCAGCAAGGGTGGCATAAAACTGTAGTCGGTCTGCAGCGAAAAGGATTTTCCTCCGTGGTATGGGTAATGGTGGCAATGATGAGCAGACATGTCTGGTTGGCTGTCCTTAGACGGCGACCCTAAACTACCGCCGTCACCGCCACACAGTCCTCGTTTATCTTCCTGATTTGGAGACGGGTTAAGTCCACTATCACCGTGGATGTCCACACCTCCAGGGATGTGGCAGCGACCACACCTCCAGGTAAGTGGCAGCAACCACACCTCCAGGTAAGTGGCAGCGACCACACCTCCAGGTAAGTGGCAGCGACCACACCTCTAGGGATGTGGCAGCGACCACACCTCCAGGGATGTGGCAGCGACCACACCTCCAGGGATGTGGCAGCGACCACACCTCCAGGTAAGTGGCAGCGACCACACCTCCAGGTACCTTACCTACCTTGAGGCTACCTTGAGGTGCTTCCGGGGCTTAGTGTCCCCGCGGCCCGGTCGTCGACCAGGCCTCCTGGTTGCTGGACTGATCAACCAGGCTGTTAGACGCGGCTGCTCGCAGCCTGATGTATGAGTCACAGCCTGGTTGATCAGGTATCCTTTGGAGGTGCTTATCCAGTTCTCTCTTGAACACTGTGAGGGGTTTGCCAGTTATGCCCCTTATGTGTAGTGGCAGCGACCACACCTTCAGGGATGTGGCAGTGACCACACCTCCAGGTAAGTGGCAGCGACCACACCTCCAGGGATGTGGCAGCGACCACACCTTCAGGGATGTGGCAGCGACCACACCTCCAGGGATGTGGCAGCGACCACACCTCCAGGTAAGTGGCAGCGACCACACCTGCAGGGATGTGGCAGCGACCACACCTTCAGGGATGTGGCAGCGACCACACCTGCAGGGATGTGGCAGTGACCACACCTTCAGGGATGTGGCAGCGACCACAGCTCCAGGTAAGTGGCAGCGACCACAGCTCCAGGTAAGTGGCAGCGACCACACCTCCAGGTAAGTGGCAGCGACCACACCTCCAGGTAAGTGGCAGCGACCACACCTCCAGGTAAGTGGCAGCGACCACACCTCCAGGTAAGTGGCAGCGACCACACCTCCAGGTAAGTGGCAGCGACCACACCTCCAGGTAAGTGGCAGCGACCACACCTCCAGGGATGTGGCAGCGACCACACCTCCAGGGATGTGGCAGCGATCACACCTCCAGGTATGTGGCAGCGACCACACTTCCAGGGATGTGGCGGCGACCACACCTCCAAGGATGTGGCGGCGACCACACCTCCAGGGATGTGGCGGCGACCACACCTCCAGGGATGTGGCGGCGACCACACCTCCAGGGATGTGGCAGCGATCACACCTCCAGGTATGTGGCAGCGACCACACCTCCAGGGATGTGGCGGCGACCACACCTCCAGGGATGTGGCGGCGACCACACCTCCAGGGATGTGGCGGCGACCACACCTCCAGGGATGTGGCGGCGACCACACCTCCAGGGATGTGGCGGCGACCACACCTCCAGGGATGTGGCAGTGACCACACCTCCAGGGATGTGGCGGCGACCACACCTCCAGGGATGTGGCAGCGACCACACCTCCAGGTAAGTGGCAGCGACCACACCTCCAGGGATGTGACAGCGACCACACCTCCAGGTATGTGGCAGCGACCACACCTCCAGGGATGTGGCAGCGACCACACCTCCAGGGATGTGGCAGCGACCACACCTCCAGGTATGTGGCAGCGACCACACCTCCAGGTAAGTGGCAGCGACCACACCTCCAGGTAAGTGGCAGCGACCACACCTCCAGGGATGTGGCAGCGACCACACCTCCAGGTAAGTGGCAGCGACCACACCTCCAGGTAAGTGGCAGCGACCACACCTCCAGGTAAGTGGCAGCGACCACACCTCCAGGTATGTGGCTGCGACCACACCTCCAGGTATGTGGCTGCGACCACACCTCCAGGGATGTGGCAGCGACCACACCTCCAGGGATGTGGCAGCGACCACACCTCCAGGTAAGTGGCAGCGACCACACCTCCAGGTAAGTGGCAGCGACCACACCTCCAGGTAAGTGGCAGCGACCACACCTCCAGGGATGTGGCAGCGACCACACCTCCAGGGATGTGGCGGCGACCACACCTCCAGGGATGTGGCGGCGACCACACCTCCAGGGATGTGGCGGCGACCACACCTCCAGGGATGTGGCGGCGACCACACCTCCAGGGATGTGGCAGTGGCTGGCAGGTACCACACCTCTACATATTGGTGTAGGTATGTGCTTACTTATCAGTTCCTACAAGGAACGACTTCTTACCCCTTTTGCGTCTTGCCTCCTGGCTATTTGTACCTCGTATGTTTGAAATTTCTCAACGAGAATTTTTTTTTTAGAGCAATGCTATGTAATGGAACTCATGTCACCCCCAGTGTCACAGATATGTCGCACTATTGTGATTTCTTTGTGAAAATCTCTTGAGGTTTGTCGTATTTCCCTTGACAATTCTATATGAAACGGGCCTCCACAACTTCTTTTACCACAGTACACTTAGTGATCACCTACACTGCACGAGTGCGCTACCTTATGACTGTTTTGGACTTTCACTCGTGTCTTCTTGTCCTTTCTCTTTAATTGGAAAGGGAGTACACCAGTCCTTGATTATTACCCTCAGTATTTTGCATGTAGTGATCATATCCCCACACCTCGATATTACTGAGCACATTACAGTACCGCCTGACTACACCAAAGCATTGCTTACTGTTGGTATGTTTTTCCTGGCCAATTATTTCTTACCCAACATGTGTTTTGCTTGAAGACTGTTTCTGATACGTGTGATTGGCTTCATGTCCTCATTGGCAGCAGTTATCTTAGACTTGTCTGGCTTTGTTGATGTGCCTGGCTGTGGTGTTGTGCCTGGCTGTGGTGTTGTGCCTGACTGTGGTGTTGTGCCTGGCTGTGGTGTTGTGCCTGGCTGTGTTGATGTGCCTGGCTGTGTTGTTGTGCCTGGCTGTGGTGTTGTGCCTGACTGTGGTATTGTGCCTGACTGTGGTGTTGTGCCTGACTGTGGTGTTGTGCCTGGCTGTGGTGATGTGCCTGACTGTGGTGTTGTGCCTGACTGTGGTGTTGTGCCTGACTGTGGTGTTGTGCCTGACTGTGGTGTTGTGCCTGGCTGTGTTGATGTGCCTGGCTGTGTTGTTGTGCCTGGCTGTGGTGTTGTGCCTGACTGTGGTGTTGTGCCTGACTGTGGTGTTGTGCCTGGCTGTGGTGTTGTGCCTGGCTGTGGTGTTGTGCCTGGCTGTGGTGTTGTGCCTGTCTGTGGTGTTGTGCCTGACTGTGGTGTTGTGCCTGGCTGTGGTGTTGTGCCTGACTGTGGTGTTGTGCCTGGCTGTGGTGTTGTGCCTGGCTGTGGTGTTGTGCCTGACTGTGGTGTTGTGCCTGACTGTGGTGTTGTGCCTGGCTGTGGTGTTGTGCCTGGCTGTGGTGTTGTGCCTGGCTGTGGTGTTGTGCCTGGCTGTGGTGTTGTGCCTGGCTGTGGTGTTGTGCCTGACTGTGGTGTTGTGCCTGACTGTGGTGTTGTGCCTGACTGTGGTGTTGTGCCTGACTGTGGTGTTGTGCCTGGCTGTGGTGTTGTGCCTGACTGTGGTGTTGTGCCTGGCTGTGGTGTTGTGCCTGGCTGTGGTGTTGTGCCTGACTGTGGTGTTGTGCCTGGCTGTGGTGTTGTGCCTGGCTGTGGTGTTGTGCCTGGCTGTGGTGTTGTGCCTGGCTGTGGTGTTGTGCCTGGCTGTGGTGTTGTGCCTGGCTGTGGTGTTGTGCCTGGCTGTGGTGTTGTGCCTGGCTGTGGTGTTGTGCCTTGCTGTGGTGTTGTGCCTGGCTTTGTTGATGTGCCTGGCTTTGTTGATGTGCCTGGCTGTGGTGTTGTGCCTGGCTGTGGTGTTGTGCCTGGCTGTGGTGTTGTGCCTGGCTGTGGTGTTGTGCCTGGCTTTGTTTTCAAAATGCAATGTCACACTAAATGCCATATAGTGTTAATTAAACCTTATTATGGCTTACAGGTGTTGGTAAAAGTTCACCTCCGACCGTGGACAGGGGTCCACCTCCGACCGTGGGCAGGGGTCCACCTCTGACTGTATACAGGGGTCCACTTCCGACTGTGAACAGGGGTCTACCTCTGCCCGTGGACAGGGGTCCACCTCCGACCGTGGGCAGGGGTCCACCTCCAACCGTGGACAGGGGTCCACCTCCGACCGTGGACAGGGGTCCACCTCTGACCGTGGACAGGGGTCCACCTCTGACTGTATACAGGGGTCCACCTCCAACCGTGGACAGGGGTCCACCTCCGACCGTGGGCAGGGGTCCACCTCCAACCGTGGACTGGGGTCCACCTCCGACCGTGGACAGGGGTCCACCTCTGACCGTGGACAGGGGTCCACCTCTGACTGTATACAGGGGTCCACCTCCAACCGTGGACAGGGGTCCACCTCTGACCGTGGACAGGGGTCCACCTCTGACCGTGGACAGGGGTCCACCTCTGACTGTATACAGGGGTCCACCTCCAACCGTGGACAGGGGTCCACCTCCGACCGTGGACAGGGGTCCACCTCTGACCGTGGACAGGGGTCCACCTCTGACTGTATACAGGGGTCCACCTCCGACCGTGGACCGACTGTGAACCACCTCCGACCGTGGACAGGGGTCCACCTCTGACCGTGGACAGGGGTCCACCTCTGACTGTATACAGGGGTCCACCTCCGACCGTGGACAGGGGTCCACCTCCGACCGTGGACAGGGGTCCACCTCCGACCGTGGACAGGGGTCCACCTCCGACCGTGGGCAGGGGTCCACCTCCAACCGTGGACAGGGGTCCACCTCCGACCGTGGACAGGGGTCCACCTCTGACCGTGGACAGGGGTCCACCTCTGACTGTATACAGGGGTCCACTTCCGACTGTGAACAGGGGTCCACCTCTGCCCGTGGACAGGGGTCAGGGGTCCACCTCCGACCGTGGACAGCCCGTGGACAGGGGTCCACCTCCGACCGTGGACAGGGGTCCACCTCCGACCGTGGACAGGGGTCCACCACTCGTGGACAGGGGTCCACCACTCGTGGACAGGGGTCCACCTCCGATCGTGGACAGGGGTCCACCTCCGATCGTGGACAGGGGTCCACCTCCGACCATGGACAGGGGTCCACCTCCGACCGTGGACAAGGGTCCACCTCCGACCGTGGACAGAGGTACATTAACATGTGACCAGCTTCCTGGGGGACCTCAAACACTATCAGGTTTGTATATGTGTATATTGTAACTCTGTATTCGGTAGTTGTATTGTACATGTATTTATATTTCTCAAACATTTAATTATTTCAGTTTGAAGAGTTTGTTAAATATACTATTGCTGATGCCCAATGTTGTGTATCATCATACACCCTCATGGGGAAGGGGAGGGGCAGTCCTTTCCCGATTGAAACAACAACGTGCATCCATTCAGGCTTGGCTTGGCTGGCTGGCGTGCTAGGGAGTCTGGCCTGTCTAATGAGTCTGGGTTGGCTGACTGGCATACCTGCTAGTGAGTCTGGCTTGGCTGGCAGGCCTGCTAATGAGTGGCTTGGCTGGCTGGCTGGCCTTCTAGCAAGTCTGGCTTGGCTGGCAGGCCTTGCTAGTGAGTGGCTTGGCTGGCTGGCTGGCCTGCTTGGAGTTTGGCTTGGCTGGCAAGCCGGCTAGTGAGTGGCTCGGCTGGCTGGCCTTCTAGTGAGTCTGGCTTGGCTGGCAGGCCTGCTAGTGAGTAGCTTGGCTGGCTAGCATGCTAGCAAGTCTGGCTTGGCTGGCTGGCATGCTAGCAAGTCTGGCTTGGCTGGCAGGCCTGCTAGTGAGTAGCTTGGCTGGCTGGCATGCTAGCAAGTCTGGCTTGGCTGGCTGGCCTGCTAGTGAGTAGCTTGGCTGGCTGGGATGCTAGCAAGTCTGGCTTGGCTGGCTGGCCTGCTAGTGAGTAGCTTGGCTGGCTGGCATGCTAGCAAGTCTGGCTTGGCTGGCTGGCCTGCTAGTGAGTAGCTTGGCTGGCTGGCATGCTAGCAAGTCTGGCTTGGCTGGCTGGCTGGCCTGCTAGTGAGTAGCTTGGCTGGCTGGGATGCTAGCAAGTCTGGCTTGGCTGGCCGGCCTACGAGTGAGTAGCTTGGCTGGCTGGCTGGCATGCTAGCAAGTCTGGCTTGGCTAGCTGGCCTGCATGTTTGCTTTTCCCACTCAATAAATTATAAATATTATATTAGTTTGGTTGGGTATAAATAGGAAATGCCTCATGGTGGCCCAATTAGCTTTCTGTTGTTTTCTCTATCCCTATAAATAGCTTCCCCCTGCCTACTCTCCTATTCAGATCTGCTATACCCAAAGGCATTAATCTCTAACTGTAAAACAATCTTTGTTTTCCCTGCCACTTGTTACTGCACATTTCAGTGCGCGATGGCAGTGTGGAGGGCATGCGGACACAGCCTTCTTTAACACCCAGTGATGCGGTCCTCTTCTATCAGCAAGGTAGAAGAGGCACATACAATGGTGAGGGATATCTACCCAGGACTCCGATAAATGTATCGAGAACTGGGGCCACCCCTCAACCATTGATGTTTTCCACTTCATCTAGTGTTTTATCTTCAAGTAGCTACTCGACCCTTCCAAGTCACCCTTCAGTGAGCCACTTGCCCCTTGCAATTCAGCCGTCGAAGACCAACCGACCCCTTGCAATTCAGCCGTCGAAAACCAACCAACCCCTTGCAATTCAGCCGTCGAAGACCAACCCACCACTTCCAGATCACCCTACGATGAACCACCAACCCGTTCCAAATCATCCTACAATGTCAACAGCAGGAGTGCAAATCATAGGTCACAATCCTTCAAACTCTGATGATGGTGAGTTTTAAAACACTTAATATTTAAAGGTTAAACTGTCTTTTCAATTGTCACTAAACGTATGAACACTTCCTAAAGAAAAGATTTATATGCAATCTTATGCTTGTGACAATTTTTCATTGACATTCTCATCCTCTGGAGATTTCAATACAAGTCTTGAGGTACATCAGATGCCTCTGTTCATCTATCAGTAAATAGGTACCCAGGAGTTAGGCATCTGCTCTGGGGTTGCATCCTGGGAAAGGTCAGTGGTTTGAACTCGGGGTGGAAAGTTCGATACAAGCCTAGTACCGGGCTTCCTGTCCCCAACAACAAGAATTATGTACAGTAGATAAAAATTCTCACTTGTGTATTTGTGAAATTTAAGGAATTTACACCCATCTTTCACACTCTCCTGAGTGCTTTATCAAGGTGTTGGTTAGGACACGACTTACATCTCAACGTCAATGTAAAAAAACTAACTGTAAAACACTATATCAATCTGTAAAACATCTAATCTCCCTAGATTAGATGTTGAGATGTTAGTGTCATCCTAACCACACACTCAGACCTTGATAGAGCACTCAGTAGAGTGCGAAAGATGGTGTAAATTCCTTACATAAATTTCAAAAATTCACAAGTGTGGGTTTTTATCCTATGTTATTATGTCTGTGAGAAGACATTACCATTACTAATTATGTACTGTATTGGGGCACAGGCTTAACACTTTCGCGCTCTCGGCGCTCAAAAAAAAACAATACCCCAGATGCTTTCGGCACTTCGCGCGCCTACGCGGTAAGACCGAAAAAGTGTACACTCTTTTGACTGTCCTGACAATAATTGAAGGCGCACATATTTAAATTTGGTATCACTGTGTTCGCAATGAAATTGTCTATAAGAGCATACCTATAAAATGCCGCCCAAGCATAAGGAGTATCAACACCAAATAAAAAACTATGCAGATCACTCGCCGAGAGCGCCAAACAGCAACAAAATGTTTCCACTCTCTTAATGGTTGCGAAGCCTACAGTTGTCCTACATCGCTAATTTTGGTATCATTGGAATCGCAATAAAATTCTCTACACGGACATATGCATATGAATGTTTAATATAGGTAATTGCCCACCCGCAAGAGTGTGTGAAGTGGAGAGTAGTTAGCCGCGAGCGCACTGGCGAAAACACAGGGGGGAAATCATGCTTGGAAAGTTTATACGTTTCCTGACCCTACTTTTCTATGTACGTATTTCTTTTTTATACCAATGTGTTCGCAATAAAATTTTCTATAAGATGAACTGTATAACATTTGTACAAAGCATGTGTAAGAGAAGCGCCAAATATAGAACCACGTCGCTCAGTATGCGTTCGCGGCAGAAACGAACGCATTGTTTTCGTTCGTTTGATGTTTGTCATGTTTATACTTGTTGAAACATTTTATAATTTGTATGACAGTGATCGCAGTAAAATTCCCTACACAGACATATACATAACACATACAAATATTTCCCACGTGTTGGATATATCAACGGCTAAAGGGAACCCACTGCCACACGCTCGCCACACCCCCAAACATACTTTGTGTATTTTTTTTTTACTCATAGAAGTTTATGTGATATAATATTCATTCTGGTACCAAAAAATTCGCAAATAAATTCTCTACAAAACAAAAGTATCCCCATCCATTTCGGTTAAAAAATGGAATTTATAGAAATATTTTTTCGATTGACGAGAAAAGTAGGCAGTAATGCGGAATAGTAAGAAAAACCAGTGACGAGTTATCTCTAATCGAAAGCGCGAAAGTGTTAAGAAAACTCGCATTCCGAAGTTAATTTCCTCATAAGAAATAAAGGGAAATGAATTAATCCGTTCCTGACTACCCCAAAAACCCCACATCAAAGTAAATTTTTATACCTAATTTACCTAATTCATCTAAATAAACCTACAAAACTGTGTTCCAGTTATTACTTACCTTGCTGTCGAGTGCTGTAGGCGTATGGAAGATGGTGAGGAGGGGGGAGGAGGAGAGGAGTTACTGTTTGGAAGGGGAGTCCCCTTCCATAATCACATCACATAACCCCATGCCTTGTAACACTATGGATACCACTTCTCTTTCTAAATTTTTCAAACCAGCCCCTGCTTGCCTTAAACTCTTTCTTATCTGCATCACTCGTTGCAGGGGTATTCTTTAGAAGGTCTTCGTGCAACACCCTGGCTTTCTCACAAATAATGGCCTCCGAAACACTATCACCCCTCAACTCCTTGTCGTGTATCCAAATTAATAACAACTTTTCCACTTCTTCAAGTATTTGTGGTCTTTGTGCCGTTAATGTTCTTACTCCTTTTGCCACTTTAGCACCCATAATCTTATTTTTCTTCTTAAGTATAGTGCATATTGTTGATGTGGCTTTGTTGTACTGCCTACAAAGTTCAACAACACGTGTACCGTTCTCATGCTTCCGAATGATCTCTTGTTTCTCCTCTATTGTCATCCTCACGTGAGCTTTCTGGCCTTTATCCTTACCACTGGCTTTCTTGGGACCCATGGTGAGATATATAATAACAAATTGTATAGACAAATCACCAAAAATCCAACAAAACACTGAAAATCCGCGAGAAGAATTGATGTGGGGGTAGTCACTGAGCACGAGACAATAATAAACTGAGGGGCGGAGGGGCGACGAACGCGCTAGGTCGGCTGTACGCGTATCAACAAACTCGTGTCCAAACTCGCCTCCCGAAGTAACCATCGCCTTCCGAGACAAATTTTTGGAGTAAATACACCTCGCCTTCCGAAAACC